CATACCAAGGACCTCTGTGTTTCATTACTAGCTATTAGTGTGTGGTCTGGGCAGGTTTTCTCACCCTCCTGAAACTCCCCAGCTTGTACTCCTAGGGGTAAGTAAGGTTCTAGCTGGGGGATAGCCCCCAAGTGCATTGAGACTGTGGTATTAAACAACCAGAGGCTTGAGATATGTCTTGAGAATGTCTTCATATTTTTAAGATATCCCGAGTATTAATCACCCTGCTGGAGGAATACAACTGTGGGTATCAGGTAGACTTCTGGACCTTCAGTTTTCCAACTCTGTAGTAGTAAATATTAGATAGGCAGTTCCATATGTTGCTTCATTTAGGCTCCAGGGCTATCATATCACATCAGGGTTATCAGTTGATAAGTTCTACTCTTGGCAGCCAAGGGCAGGCCTACCTTTCCCTATACATTTCATTGCCAGAACAGAGAAAGCCTCTTGCTACTTGCACTCTTCACCTTGTCAGTATTTTGCCCTTGTGCTCTCCTGGAAGTGTGACAGATTAAAGTTAGACTTCCTGTCTTGTGGTTGCTTCCCATTCTCAGGCATCTAGGGTAGGTCAATTTCAAATAATACATTCTCTTTCAAGAGAGCACCTGACCTGCCTGCCCTCAGTGTTATACAGAGTGATAAAATGGAATTTCTCATTGCTGACCCATCTACCAGAGGAATTACTGTTTTACTGAAACCTGGAATTGACTTTGAGACTTATGAGCGCTCTGGGTTTGTCCTGAGACTAGGATGACCTGTGTCTTTGCACCAAGGCCTAGCCTAGCTTTTGGAGGAGTCTTTTGTTTTCCTTCCCTGTACTGGGCTGCTGGTCACTGGAGCCACACTTGGCTTAGCTTCTTTTCATTGTATCTCCTGTCTCTTTGTCCATGCTTTTCAAGTATCCTGCTAGTACCTTTGTGAATTTTTGAAGCTCCTCTTTTTTTCTTTGGAATAGTCTTTTTTTTTTCTTTCTTTCTTTTTATGTATTTTAACTTTTTAAAAATTTTTTAAAATTTAATAACCACATGATTAGAAGAAGCATTTCATTACAGCTTTAACATATTCAGTAACACATTCCAGAGCAAGGATACATCTCTTTCAAAGGTGGCTGTAAATTTTTAGGTTCACAGTTGAATTAATACAGTCATACAATATCTTGAACTCAGTATAAACCCTGTAAGACATAAAATTGAATTAAGTTTTTACCCCTTAAAGAACGTCTCCATTTCATTGGAAGATATGCAGTTTCCAACATCTTTAATGCTACTAATACTTACATGTTTGCACATGTGTCTTCAATCTCTATGTATCTGATTATTACTAGTCACAGTAGATTACACTCGGATCCTTAGTACCTGAGTATGGATATAAAGTCAAATCCTTAGTACCTGAGTATGGATATAAAGTCATCAGGTAGGTTTCACTGGTAATGTTAATCACCTCTACTATTTAACATGAAGTAAATATTTTTTTAATTTTTAACAACTACATGATTAGAAGAGGCATTTCCTTACAGCTTTAACGTATTCAGTAACACACTCCAGAGGAAGAGCACATCTCTTTCACAAGTGGGTAAAAGTTTCTACGTTAATGAGTTTTTAATCTTTAAAAAAGATCTCCATTTCTTTTTAGAATATATTGTTCCTTGCAGAAAGACTCATTTTTTTGCTACTAACACTGAAGTGTTGGCACATGGTTCTCTAATATGTATGTATCTATTACTAGTCATAATCTGTTTCACTTGGATCCTTGGCACCTGTGTATGTCTATAAAGTCATAGGGTAGATTTCAGTGGTAATGCTTATCACCTCTACTAATTAGCATGACATAAATTTCATGCTTCCTCCTCAAATATAATACATTGTGTGTGTGTGTGTGTGTGTGTGTGTGTGTGTATGTATCATACAGAACATTCCAAACCATCTTATTCAACTACACACCCACTTCCCATATGGCACCCTCCCATAGCCTTCCTCCCCCGACTAGAGCCCTTATATTCTGTTATCCCTGCTACTGTTCACTGTGATGTTGTCACCCCCAGCCGACCCCACTACTTGTCCATCTTGTGAATCTAGTCAGCCTAACTGGTGAATCTAGTCAGCCTCTCTAGAGGTCTTTGTTTTAGGAAGGTCAGCTCTTCCTCATCTAGCAGCAATCAGTTGTCAATATTCCTTTAGGTAAGATTGGGGTCTGCTGTTCCATTTTCCCAGTTCTATGCTGGGTTACTATCTGGGAGTCCCTTTGGCCACCTTGGCCAACAATTCAAAAGAAGGTATCTCCTATCTGGCATGGTTGCTTGTTATGTAGCTTTTGCCTATACATGTGGACTCTTAAAAAATTACATTGGCCCCTTTAATTTTTGGTTATACTTTCCTTTTGGGTGTTTAAGGCCATACAGTTGGTTCAGATAAACCAATTTATTTTTACTCTTAAGGTCGTTTGAGGATCTGGTCCTCACAGGTCACATGGGCTTGGGAGGAGCCCCTGGCTCCTTTCTTTTACCAGCTCTGTCTATGTGAAGATAAGTCAAAGGTCCTGCTTGACCATAGCTGGCTTCTCTTGGAAGCATGGAGGAAATGATTCTTCTCTGTTGACCCTCCTCTTTGTAGTCTGGACACTGGTTCAAGTCCATCTTGTGGGGTCTCCTTAGCCTCCTTGATCAAGAGGACAGGTGACCCACCACAATAACAGGACATTATGAGAGATGCTCATAGTCCCCTGGAACTAGTTGACCTAGGAGGGCAAGGAGCAAAAACTGTCCTTTATTTCTCACTGAACAAATTAGTATAGGCCTCAAAGTATGTCTGTTATACATCCAAGAAGGTTAGTCTGGTACTTTTAATTACTGTGTCTCATGTAGATAAATCTTGGGCAAAGACCAATTGTTCTCAGATAAACCTTACCAAGACATATGTTTCTTGATCTGGTATGTATAATTTGTCAGTAGGTTGTTGGGCTAATACAGTTCCCTCTGGTTTTTAGAACTAGCTAGGCATTTTTTATCTCTCACATTGTCTAACCCCTCCATCATGGTTTCTAGGTGCCCCTGTTTTCCCCCTTCTCCCTTAATAATACCCTTCTCCTATGGTCCTACCTCTCTTGAGCTCCTTCTTTCCTTTATCCCCTAGGTTCCTTGTATACCCTTCCCTCCCACCTCTCTTATTTAAACTAACCCAATGTTTATCGATATCTCCCGTTTTAAGGCCTGATTCCTACTGTTCTTCCTGTCAGGTTCTTTCTTTTCCTTTACCTCCCTGTTTCCTTTCCATGATCCTGGTTCCTGTAGTTAGGTCTGGATACATACTCACTTATTAGGGTTTGGTTCTAGGATCAACATATGAGAGAGAACATATGTCGATTTTTTTTTTTTTCTGAGTCTGTGTTACTTCACTTAGTATAACAGCTTCTAGTTCCATCCATTTATCTGCAAATTTCATCTTTCTTTACTGATGAGTAAAACTCCATTGTATAAATGAACCACATTTTCATTATCGACTCATCAGTTGAGGAATACTTAGGTTGCTTTCATCTCTCAGCTATTGTGAAAAGAGCAGCAACAAACATGGATGTACAAGTGTTTCTGCAATAGGATGAGTTCTTTGGGTATATGCCAAGGAGTGGTATAACTGGGTCAAATGGTAGGTTCATTTGTAGTTTTTTAACAGTTCTCCACACTGCTTTCCATACGGGTTGAACAAGTTTGCAGCCCCCTAGCAGTAGATGAGTATTCCCCTTTCCCCACATCCTCTCCAACAGTTGGTGTCATTTGTTCTCTTGATCTTAGCCAGTCTGACTGGGGTAATATGAAATCTTAAAGTGGTTTTGACATGTGAATTTCTTTTGTAGTTTCTGATTCTTGTGTGAGACTCAAGCCTTCAAGTTTAGGTCTGCTTCTTTTTTGTAGACTTTATGTGTCTTTGTGGTTTACTTTTTGGGCAAGAAAAGCTGGTTCTTCTAAGCTTCCAGTTCTCTCTTTTGATCTCATATTGGAGTGGCCAGATTGCTTTTGTCTTCAGGAGTTCCCAGAGAGGCCCAAGTCACATGAGGATCAGATACTCTCAGGCTTTCTCCTAAGGTCTGGATCCCTCCAGGAAAGATTTTGGCCTCAGGAATTTGGGGGTTGGACTGCCCTGGGAGCATGGTGGCGGTGCTACCCAAAGATGCAAAAGGAAATGGGGGTGGGAAGAGGCCCCAAGGGCTCCTGGGGACTGCACTGAGGAACTGGGTTGGCCTGGATGCAAAGGATCAGGAAGCAGAAAGTTTAGCCCCGGAGTCCAGGAAAGAGGCTGGCAGGTTGTGCAGCCCAGGGTAGCAGAGGGAGGTGAAGGTGAGACCAGGCCCAGAGGGCTCCCAGGGACCTTGAGAAGGAACTGGGTCGGTCTGCATGCAAGGGATCAGGAAGCAGTTGTGGCCCCTGGCTGAGAGGTCAGGCCCGGTGTCCAGGAAAGAGGGTGGTGGGCTGTGTAGCCCAGGGAAGCAGAGGGAGGTGAGGGTGGGACCAGGCTCAGAGGGCTACTGGGGAGCAGAGAAGGAACTGGGTTGGTCTGGATTCAAAGTGTCAGGAAGCAGTGGTGGTTCCCCTGCTATCTGGGGGCCAAGACAAGGAATGGGACAGGACCCAGGCTAAGAGGAGATTCGGGCGGGGGAGATGCAAGGGTGAATGAAGCTGTGGGAGTCAAGGTGGGGAGGGCACGATCTGCTTATCCCAGAGAGGCCTGCGGGTCGTGTTGGCCCAGGGAAGCTGAGGGAGGTGAGGGAATAGTCTTTTTTTTCAGACTGGTCTCATTTACCAGATCACATACTGTGTCATTTAACAAAGACGGACTAGAATATGAAGTTGATAAATACTTTACACTAGAGTTAAGAATTTTTTTACTTAGTATTTTAGTGTTTTTGTTATTAATCTTGTTAAATAAATTTTAAATTGGATATATTTTAGTTGAAAATTTAAACTAAAATTTAAAATTAAATGTGTTATGATTGATTTTGTTTGTTTTTAGGTATCCATCAATTATTTTTATTGATGAGCTGGATGCATTGTGCCCTAAAAGAGAAGGCGCTCAGAATGAAGTGGAGAAGAGAGTTGTAGCTTCACTCTTAACACTGATGGATGGCATTGGCTCAGTAAGTACAACACTAACATTAATTCTCTATAGGAACTGGTTGTGTCTTAATATATACAGAGTAGCAAAATCTACTGAACGTGCCTGATTCCTAGGATAAATGAAAAATATCAAGCAGGATAACACTCATACAGTAACTTGCTTCAATAGACTTCTTCATAATTGGAAGGACCACATAGCCTGGCATGTTTTTCTGGCACTTAAAATAATTTACCATATATATTTCTTTTTTGATACATGACATTAATTAAAAAACCTAAGACATAGGTTTCTAAATTAATAAGGAAGATTCAACATTACATTTTAGTGAATTTTATTAAGAAATTTTAGTAGTCTTGCTGGATGTAGTGGTATATGCTTGTAGTCCCATCACTTGGAGGCAGAGCAAGGTGGATCAGTGTGAAGCCAGGTACATAGTATAAGGTCAGCCTGGGCTATGATCTCATCTCAAAATAATTTTTTTTCCCTTTATTTTAAAAATATTTTACTCATTTTTTTTTTAACAGAGCATAGTGTAGGGGTTTATTTACAGAAGAGTGCCCCACATTTACGGCTGCATTTTAAAGTCCACATTCAAATACAGATCCTGTGACCTTCTGACATCCCCACAAAATGGTGAGAGAGGTGCCTCTTGATGTTCTCGGCTTATATATCCTTTGCCCCCCCCCCCCACATGCAGCTAAGGTCAACTGATTGGGTGAATGGGGTAACTGACTCCCCCCTGGACTCCTTGATGAGCATAGGAGGGAGGTGTGACTATAGCTTGCCAGCATAGTGGTTGGAGGACATTTCCAATTAACATGCCACCCCTTCCTCCGGCTCTTTCATCTCAAAATAATTTTAAAAAGAAAAATGTGTGTTTTTTTTTTTCCCCATGAGGAAAGGTCTGTGTCACCCAGGCCGTCCTAAAAACTAGCAGTTCTTCTGCCTCAGCCTCCTAAGTGCTGGGATTGTAGATAGATGCTGCCACAGCCAGCTTTGTAGTCATGTATTATTACAAACTATCTTACGCTAATTATAAAAAGGATTAATATAGAAGAAGAGTGAAGACTAATGCTCTTAGACTTCTGACATTTGTTAACCAAAAAATGTGCTTCTTAGATGAGATTAAAAATGATTAAAGTCTTCAGACTCACAATGTATTAGCAACAAAAGAAGTTTTCAAAATCACATAGTCTCATGTCCTTTTGCACATTAGAAAGCAAGAGAAGAGTCTGGTTTTATTTCATATTGGTGGGAAATGAACATATGAAAATAATGTGAGTTTTTGTATTCAGTAAGTTAAATGTTTCTTTAAGCAGGCCAAATCTGTCATTCTGGACCATGATTTCTCTGTGATGGCAAATTCAGAGAATGGCCTTATAATTAGGAGAAAGGCTTTTGGTAAGAAAGATGAATTGGAAGGCTCAGTTTTAGAGAATCTTAGACATTAGGATAGTTGGTAGTTTGTTTCTCTGCCACTGGGATAAGCCAGCTATGGAATGGTGTCCTTGTCTGTGATAAGGCTAGAACTACATGACACTGATATTTTAACCATTTAAACCTGAAAATATTTAAGGGGCCTGTACTTGTGCATTTAAACTTATGATTTATAAGTTCATATTAGTATACTTGAGTTTTCTTATGAAAATCACGTTCCATTTGTCTCTCTTTGAAATTACACAAGGATCATCTGACTAAAATACTGGACAATATATGAAGGCAGCTGATGATGATCATAGTTCTTTATAATTTGTTGTTCTTAACCACATTATTTTTCTTTTTTTAATACGCATTTTTATTGAATTTTTGTGCATTTCATAAATAAATCTTGATCATATTTAGACCCCCCTCCCTATCTGCACCCTCTCATATACCCCCCCACCACCAGATTTCATGCATTCTGTCATATATATTAAGGCCTCTTGAGTCAAGTTTGTGTTGCCAAATGCCCCTTGGGGTCAGTTTATCTACTGGAGCCTGGTCAGCCTATCTAGCACCACTCCCTTAAAGAAGACCAACTCTGCTTCATCCAGCAGTGATTCAGTTGCCAATATTTCCTCAACTAAGGTTGAAGCTTCTTGCCCATTTCCACAATTCTGTTCTAGATTTTTGTCTGACTGAGTTTGCATGGGTCTTGGGCATGCTGTCAACATTGCTGTAAGCTCATATGAGCAAGTTCCCAGAAGCCTAGAAAACTCTTGTTTCTTTGTGGTCATCTACCACCCCTGGCTCTTGTTCTTAACCCCATTTTCCAAGAGTAGACATCCTTGTGTATTCAGGGGTGGCTGGTGCTTGGAGATTGATTATGTTTCTATATTTTCTGGAATTTGAAATTTTATCACAATAAAATTTGGTTAGATGCTCAGTGGATAAATGTACTTGCTACCAAGCCTCATGGTCTGAATTTGATCCCCTAGACCCACATGACGGAACAAGAAAACAAACTCCTACACTTTGTTCTTTGATCTCCACACGCACACTTTGGCATGCCTTTGCTTACACACATATACATGTAATTAAATGTAAATAAAAGATATTTTTAAAAAGTCAGTTGATACTATGAGAAAGATTTCTTAGATAAGTTCCTAATCAAGCCTAGTTCTATATGAATTCTATGTAGGTTGTAATCCTTCCTCCCAAATAGGGGAAAAGAACTACTTAACAATAGAGCAGCTATATTGTAGATACAGAAGTAAGTACTGAATACTTTCTCAGGTAAAAAACATTTAGACTGGGCTTTGAGAAAATGTGTACTAAAAATAATAAATGTATTTTTATTACAAATAAAATTGATAAATTGATAAATGGAAATATAGGGATCTAGTGCTTAGTAGATCCTTATACTTAATACCTAGTAAAGTTCTATTCATTCTTGTCTGTAGAGCCAGTGTCTGCCTTCCTATCTTTTTTTAAACCAATACATAATTTATTTTCATTTTATTTTGTTAGGAAGGAAGTGAAGGACGAGTATTAGTCCTTGGTGCCACAAATCGCCCTCAAGCATTAGATGTTGCACTTAGAAGACCTGGGCGATTTGATAAAGAGATTGAGATTGGGGTTCCTAATGCCCAGGACAGACTTGATATTCTTCAGAAACTGCTCCGAAGGGTGCCACACTTGCTCACTAAAGCTGAACTGCTGCAGCTGGCAAATAATGCTCATGGATATGTTGGTGCAGACTTGAAAGCCTTGTGTAATGAAGCAGGTGAGAGTGACTTCCTGTGATGAGTCTGTATTGATGGCCCTTAACTCTGGTTTATTTATAGACTGATGATTGTTGACGCTTCTTTTTTTTAAATTTTTACTTTATGTGTCTGAGAGTTTGCATGTATGTAAGTGTACCTGGGCTGAGCAGAGGACAGAAGAGGGTGTTGGAATCTCCTGGAACTGGAGTTTTGGACAGTTGTTAGCCACCACATGGGTACTGGGAACCAAATCCAGGTCTTCTGCAAGAGCAGCCAGTGCTCTTAACCACTGAGCTATCTCTCCAGTCCCCAGATATCTCTTACTTAATGGAAATAGTTTTATTTTGTCCAATCATAGAATTATTTAAAAACTTACGTGATTCAGAAAACTATGAAGAAGGAAAACCATTACCTTTTTGGGGTTTTTTGTTTCCTTTTTTCTTTGACAGGGTCTCCCTAACCTCGGCCTGCCTGGAACTCACTGTGTAGACCAGGCTGGACTCAGTCCCACAGAGAGATTCACTATCTACCTGCCTGCTTCTGCCTCCTGAGTGCTGGGATTAAAGGCATGTGCCACCACATCTGGCGTGATTTTTACCTTTTTTTTATTTATATTAGTATTTTATATTTTATTTTTACTATATATGTATAAATGCATTGTTTATGTGTGTGTAACTGCACCCCTGTTGTGCAGTGCCCATGGAGGTCAGAAGAGGGTGTCAGATCCCTTGGAATTAGAGTTATGGACAGTTGTTAGCTGTCCTGTGGGTGCTGGGAATTGAACTGGAATCCTCTGCAAAAGCAGTCAGTACTCTTCACTGCTGAGCCATCTCTCTAGCCCTATTTATATTATTTTTATTTTATATGTATGACTGTGTTGCCAGCATATGTGTAAGTACACCCTTGTCATGCAGTGCCCAAGGAAGTCAGAAGAGGATGTTGGATTCCTCTGGAACTTGAGTTGGGGATGGTTGTTAGCTGCCATGTGAGTGCTGGGAATTGAACCTGAGTTCTCTGCAAGAGCAGTCAGTGCCCTTAACTCCTGAGCCATCTCTCCAGCCCCTCAAAGTAGTTTTTGTTTTTATAAGGTGTTGGAATAAGTGATTCAGCAAAACCTAGAGAAACAAAGTTTAATTCTTAAAGTTATAGAAGAAATGTGAATTTTAATTGAGAAAATTCATTATTCTAGAACTTTAATTTTGAATGACAGGCAACTCTAGTGCTTAAATTATTGATTCAGCCAGGTACAGTGGCATGTCTTTAGTCTCAGTACTCAGGAGGCAAGGCAGGTGGATCTCTGTGAGTTCCAGACCAGCCGGAACTGTATAGTGAGACCCTGTGTGCAGTAAACTTTGAAGACTCTTTTTTTTTTTTTTCCTTTTTTTTTTTTTTTTTTTTTAACTGTCTGACATGTGGAAAGAGATCAGAGAGGGAAAAATAGGAAAAGAAAATTCAAATGAGATATAGCAGAATGCACTTGAAGAACAGGGTACCAGAATATTTTATAAGAAATTTTCTTAATGAAGCAGAGTGATTAACAGGTTTTAAGGAAGGATTGAGTAGACTTGCTTTTAAAATGAGATTTGTCATTGTAATAATTATTTTCTTGTTGCTGTGATAAAATACTATGGCATGATTTTTACCTTTTTGTTTGTATTATTATTTTATATTTTATTATTTTTACTTTATATGTATAAGTGTATTGTTTATTTGTGTGTAACTGCACACAAGAGTAGAGAGTTCATCATGGCAGGGAGGCATGGCAGCAGGCAGACATGGTGGCTGGAGATCACATCTTCAAGCATATGGGAAGCAGAAGAGCATCAATAAGTGGGATGAGGCTATGAACTATGAAGCACACCCCCAGTGCTTCTTTCAGCAAGGTCACATCTTCCTAAAGGGGTTCCATCATCTTCCCCAAACAGTACCACTAACAGGGGACCGTATACCAAGTATTTAAATACTTGAACGTATGGCGGACATTTCTCATTTAACCATCCTTGTGATCTTAGACAAGTTCTTTGCCTTATCTGAACCCTACTTTTTTCCATTTTTAAATTGGGGGGCTTAAAAAAGATGATATTGTATAGTACCCTTTCAGTGGACATAAGAGAAAGGAAATAAAAATACAAAGAACTAGAAAGGAAGAGGAAAGAGATGGCAGAGAAACACCTGTTACTAAACCATGGCTTCATTAGCTATTTTTAATATCAGAATTTTCTTATTTTTGCCTACTTGTCTAAATAACTTGGGTGATTAACCAGTACTCTTTTTTTGATCTTTTTTTTTTTTTTTTTTTTTGAGACAGGGTCTCCCTGAGGACCAAGTTGGTCTGGTACTCGCTGTGTAGAACAGGCTGGCCTCGAGCTCACAGAGGTCTACCTGCCTCTGCCTCCCGAATGCTGGAACTAGATGTGCACCACCACGCCGGGCCATCTTTCACAATATTTTTAGATATAGTGATGGAGTACAGACTGACATTGGTTGTGAAGTAAACTACATTTCTCATTTTTTTTAGGATTTGAACTTGAATAAATTAAAAGTTTGTTTAATGGTGTTCCTCAGAAGGAAAGTTTAAAAAACTGAAGCCATAAACATTTAAAATGGACTCATGCTCTAAGTGTTACCATGTGGGCATAGTATATCCCATTTACTGAGTATACCATGGTATCATAATATACCTCTTATATGTCTGCACTTGGAGATACTGTGATGTACCACATATATGCATTGCCTGCAGAGTCCAAAAGAGGTCATTGGATCCCCTGAAACTGGAGTTATGGACAGTTGTTAGCTGACTTGTGGGTAATAGGAACTGAACCCAGGTCCTCTGTAAGAGCAGCCAGTGCTCTTAACTGCTGAACCATCTCTCTAGTCCTTTGATGGCTAATCTTGATTGTCAGATTGATAGACCTGGGAAGAGAGACCCTCAGTTAAGGAATTCCCTTAATCAGATTGACCTGTGGCATGTCTGTAGGCTGTTTTCTTTATTGCAAATTGGCATAGGAGGGCCCAGCTCACTTAGGTTGTGTCATACCTGGACAGGCGGGCCTGGGCTGTGTAAGAAAGGTAGCTTAGGAGACAGCCAGAAGGAGCAAGCCAGTAAGTAGCATTCCTTCATGGATTCTGTTTCAGTTCCTGTCTTGAGTTCCCTTGATAATGGACTGTAATCTGGAACATGAAATAAACCCTTTATTCCTCAAGTTGCCTTTTTTAAAAAAAGAAAAAAAATGTATGTGTATAAGTGCATCCCTGTCATACAGTGCCCACAGAGGTCAGAAGAGGGCTTCGGATTCCCTGGAACTGGAGCTGTGGACAGTTATTAGCTGCCACGTGTGTGCTGGGAACCAAACCCGGGCCCTCTGCAAGAGCAGCCAGTGCTTGTAACTGCTGAGCCATCTTTCTAGCCCTCAAATTACCACTGGTCAGAAAAACAAACTAGGATACACAAACACACACTCACAAACGTGTGTATATGGTCTATGTATATATAGTATATATATAGTCTCATATATAACGTATGCATTGAGCATAAGAAAAATTCATGTGTTAATGGTATGTTTGAATTACTTTGTTGTAAGTAAAAAAAATGGAATATTTAGTAATGCTGTATCCCATCTAGATTTACAGGAGTTCGTAGGGAATAATTTGAGTTGATATCAGTCAATCAAAATAAGTGCCTAGGCAAATTTATATTTAGACCTTTTTTTCCTTGAAAAACCAAAAAACATTCTTCCTTAGGCAAATGAATGCATAATAGTGATCAAAAATTTTTAAAAAAGTCATGGTAATTTCTTAATGACTGTGGTACATAGTAAATGTTAGAAAATGTATTAGTTGACTTGAATTAGAAATATGTGTAAAACTAGGAGACAAAATTTATACCCCATTTTGATAGAAATGAGAAATGTTTATTAATTTCAAAGCTGAGTTGGACTTAGTTTTTAACTATTAGGATTGTTGCTTTGAGAAATTCCTACTTTGTGTTGAGCAAAGAGTTCTTTTATTGCTACCTTTGTAGGTCCTAGTGAACAAGTTATAAATGCTGTGTAATCCTAGGAAATATGGACACTAAGGCTGCTTTAAATATTTTCAGTTAGGCTTTGCCTACCTGCTGACATTTCTTAACTTTGACTCAGATTGTGGATTTTAACCATATTTAACAAACAAAAAAGACATTATTCTTTGGGGGGCAGTACCATGTATGTGTTACAAGCATGCATGTGGCACTAGAGGACAAATTGTGGAGTATGTTTTCTTTTTCTACCTTTTTATGGGTTCTGGCGATCAAGTTCAAGTCATCAGGGCATGCATCACTGGGATAAATTTGATCCCCAGAGCCTATATGAAAAAACCATATGTAGTGGTTTGTGGTTGTAATCCCAGTGCTGGGTAGGCAGAGACAGGCAGGTTCTTGGAGCTTGCTGGCTAGCCAGCTTTAGCCTAATCTGATTGATTAATTCCAGGCCATTGAGAGACCCTGCTTCACAAAACAAGGTGGACGGAGCTTGAGGAATGACACACACATAGGAAAAAAATAACTTTAAAGAAAATAAAAATAATAACATTAATGTGTTTTTCCTACAGCATTTACTTGGTTATGATTTGTGGCTCTGTGTGATCTTTGTGCTTTTGTGTGATCTTTGATAGTTACTCTTCCTAGACTGCCATGGAGTAGACTAAGGTGCTCATTTTAACAAAAGTGGTGCCCAGAAGCCAATAATAGCATGAAATGAAACAATTCGGAATTTTATAAAGCATAGAAAATTATCCTAATTGTTTCTGTGATCAAAATGTTATATAACAAAATTTCTGTACTGTGTATGTACATTTGTGAGCTTTACAGAGGATGAATTTTCTATCCCACTGTTTCCAGGAATGATAGTGTATCTTTCGTAATGTACTTACTCTAAACTTTTTTCCTCTATATTTTCCATCTCTTGACTTTGTTGTCATATGAATATGAAAACTGAAAGTACTGTGGTAGTATTGCATGTAAATCTATATCATTGGATTTTTT